CCATCCTCTTGACACCCGCCCTTTATTTATAGATATTCCAGTTAAAGGCGCGTTTCCCTGCCCGGTGGCGCAGGGGTTACGCTTTGGTTGGGAAGGTGGGTCTGCCGCCCAGACATCCTCTGGAAATGACAGCATAAAAGCAAAGCAAAGCCAGGAGGCCTCCCAGTCGAGCCCCATCGCCAGCAGCAAAAAAACTTATGGGCGAGGTGGAAGTTGTGGGTCAGGTTTTGGGGTGAGTTCAGCTGCCCCTGGAAGCAGGGAACCCTCCCGGGCTCTCTGGGAAAGCTGCTGAGCGTCGCAGCCTGCGGAGGATCCAGCCCCGGCGTAATTACTATGGAGAGGTGGAAGGGAGCTGTGAGCAGTGGATGTGCAGAGCCCAGGGCAGGCAGTGCTGGCCGGCAGGCTCCCTGGATGGCGGCAAATTCTCCCTCTTCAAGAGGAGCCAGTGGCCATGGGAGAGGCTGGTGGGTGATGGTGAGGGTGGGGTGTTTCCCCTTTGGGGTCCGCAGCGAGCAATGCTTACCCTCTGCCCAGTCTGCCACAGGTTTTCCTCCTCCCTGGTCCTGGCATCCTTCCTCCCCCTGCGGTGGCAGCCCCGGGGCTTGACACACGTCAACCGCAGACTGTCAGGAGGGGAAATGACAGGGCCAGGGCAGGCGTGCAGGGCTTCACGCCGAAACCACTTTGGTGAGATGCTGGCAAGCCCTTCAGCCAGCACCGCTGAGAACAGGGCCACCGTCAGCAAACACACTGATTTATTGTTTTTTAAAGGAAACTCTGCAGCTTGGACCTCAACCCGTCCCCAACCTCCGGAATTTCCCCGTGCAGATGGTGGGAAGGGCGAAGCGGCGCTGGCCCCCCTGGCAAGCTGAGCCAGCAGATGGCAATGCCATCCATGCACCGAGGTGAGCCGGTGCTCAGCGCTCCATCGCCGTGAGCGGGGCCTCGCTGCAGCTGGTGGAGTGGCTCGTCTCCTCACTGGGGAGCGGCGCCATGTGGGACAAGTCAGATAGAAAACGGGTTTATTTCCAGATGCTGCAGGGAAACTGATTTTGATTTAACAAGCAGACAATAGTGAGGTATCTTGGGTTTTTATTTCAATCCTACTCCACAGGAAACAATATTTGCTAGTGTTATCTTCCTTACATTTGTTTTTATTTGACCCAATACTGTGTTAAATATAAAATACTGATTGAACAAGAATGGACGGTGAAAAACACGAGATGCTAAAAAGATCCCTCAAACCCTCCTCCACAGACATCCTGAATGTTACAAGTCATTTAAAATTAGTATAAAATAGGAGGACAGTTGGCTCTGTGCACCCCCACCCTGCTTTGCAAGGGAAGGATTTAGGAAGGAGGAGAAGGAGGGAGACTTCTCAGTTATAGAGAAGCCCACTCGGCAAATCCAGGCTCAAGGCAGGGTGGTGATGCCCCACTCGGGCATCTGCCTTTTTTCAGCAGGAGGCTGAGATGAATTGGCCTTGGACGGGTCCTTCTGTCACCTCCTTGTGCCTTGGGAGCCCCCGGGATGGATTTAGGGCCAAAAGCCCCCAGTGGTGAAATGGCTTCTGCGATAAATCCTATGGGATGAGGCCCATGGACAAAACATGATGGTGGTCCCTGGGCATCCTCAGCCCCTGCCAGGGGACATTTGCCCAGCAGCTGGGACTGCTGTGTGCACGGTCTGTCCCCAGGGTGGTTCCCCTGTGGGATGTAGTGGTGGAGGAGGAGGAGATCCGGGCACGCTGAGCTGCAGTTGTCACTGTGCCCTGTGGTAGCTCTGGGAATCCAGCCCCCCAGACTCAGTAATAATTGAAGTTTGTAAAGCACTAGTCATCCTCCTAGTGCTTCAACGGGGTCCTCACATGAGCCCTGTGAGGTAGGTCAGTGTCTTCACCCCCATTTTACAGATGGGGAAACTGAGGCACGGAGAAGGGTAATGACTTGCCAGACAGAAAAAATTGTACCTCCATTCTGGGACCATATATCCCACTATTCCAACCCCAGACATGCTCCAATAACTGCTGATTACTCACAGCTCGTCCTTCTCCACCCCTCCATCTGCAGTAGGTGACAGAGCAAGTGCTGGGACCTGGGAGAGGCAGCAGCAGAGACTGGGCTCATACTGGGTCATTTGCCCCCTGTCCCTAAGACCCATTACCCCAAGAGGCACCTCAGCCCAAAGGCTGCTTTGAGGTACCACAGGCAGAGACCCCCCCCAGCACCCTTGCCAGGCTGGGGTGCCGGGCACAGCACCCAGAGCCCCTTGTAGGAACTTTCTGCCTATGGAAGTGAAAATCCACCAGATTTTTTTGGCCAGCCTCATGACCACAGCCACCACGTCAGGCAGGGATGAGTATCCGGATGCTTTGTCTTTGGTAATTTGCTGCAAAATGGCACGGCCCTGGAGAGCTGGTCCTGGGGTGCTGCAGGCTGGGGGGACCCTAAGCTCTGCAGGAGACGGGGCAGAGCCAGGAGCTCAGCTCCTTGGCACGCTGCTGGAGAAACGGGAGATTCAGGACAGTGGCCATAAATCTCCTTCCCTTGCCACATCAGGCCCAGACTGCTGCATTTGCGATTAATCAAGAGGCCAAAGAGAGATGATGGGAAATCGATGCCTTCAGGGGCTCCTGGGGAAGGTGTAGACAGGGCTGAGAGCAGCGCTGCTCTGCCAGCTGGCTCCCGGCACGCACCAGAGCCCAGCACACACCAGAGCCTGGCACCAGACCCTGCCAGCTCCAGCAGCTCTGCTGGTGTGTTTGGGGAGCAGGACCAGGTGTGGTTTTCCCATTCCACAGGCATCGGGGCTGATCCTGATGGCTGGACAGGTGCTCCATGTCCTGTTCTCCTGCCTTGGAGAGCACTGGGTAGCCGTGGTTAGGGGTTTGAAAACCAAGCATCACTAGGACCTCTCCATCACAGCTCACCTCTGAGCATCACACGCACACGTCCCTTCCCTGAGGCATTCCTGGTATTGTGGGAAATGCTCCCAAAAGTGGAATTAAATCTGATGATAAGCAACAGGCTCATCATCAAAATGAGAGCAGAGAAGTCAGGCAGCCCCACAATCCCAATCCAAGGAGGTTTGCTTCCCTCCCTTGAGGAGAAAGAAAATCCCCTGATGCGGGTGGGCTGACCCCAGCCGGGTGGATGCCAGGAGCCAGATCCCCTTTCTGCTCCCCACCTGGGAGCGGGACTGTGCTTTGGGGCTGCCACCGGCACCCCATGGAGAAAATGTCTGGGGGGGGTTCAAAGTGGGGATGCACCAAGTTGTGCACTTAATACTGGCTTAGAGAAAGTGTTTTCTGGACTCCAGGGAGCCCTGGAAGAGATTCAAGTTTCAATCCTATGTAAGGCTTTGTTGACTCTGGACCTTCTGGTCAAGAACTTGGGAGGGGGTAGTTAATGCCAGCATGACCCAGACCATCTAGGAGCCGAGCACGGGTGGTGCAGGGGTGCCAAAGCGCCCCCTCCCAGCCGGGGCAGCCACACACCCAGGCACCCCAGGAGAAAAGGGACGGGTCTCTCTGCCCACCATGATACATCCAACCCCCCAGGTGGCCCACGCTAAGGGCTCTGGTAGCCAGACCCAGGGTGTCACTAGCCAGGGGCATGTGGGGCCAGGGTCCCTGCTCCTTCAGGGTGCTCAGGGTCAGGCAGTTGAGCGAGGTCGCCTCAAGCCCCCGGCAAGTGGTCGCTCCCCTAGACCTGCAGCCCATTGGCCGGGCACCATGTTATGAAACCTTTGCCTAAAAGAATAAACAGTTACCGAGGTTAAAAAAGAAAAAAATCTGTTTAAAAGCAACCTCCAGGCTCTCCTGTTTGTGCGGGAAGGGCACCGGCGGCTGCTGCCCACAGGGCGAGCGGGTGGCTGGGGGTGAGGCCAGGGCACAGGCTGCCTCCCTGCTCCCCTCCATGCCCCCATGTGCTGGTTGGCACAAATTATGTCTTTTAAGGCATTTACCGGGATGTTTTAGCCTCCAGCACGCTAGGCCGGTAGAGGTACCTCCAAATGGCATAGTAGTGGATGCCAGCTCCGATGGCCACGAAGAGGTGCCAGATGGCGTGGGCGAAGGGGATGCGGCCGTCGCTTTTGAAGAAGACCATGCCCAGGCAGTAGGAGAGTCCACCAGCCACCAGCTCTGGGAGGCCATCCCTGTTGGGCTGGGAGCAAGCGGGGAGGCAAGGCTCAGTGATGGCCGTGGCGCGTCTGCACTTTCCCCACCGCTCCATCAAGACCAGAAGCGTGGCCCCAGCTGCACAGTACAGCCAAGACCCTCGCTCTGCCTTCTGCTACACCCTCCCCTCCAGCAAGGCAGCGGGGACCCAGCAGCCTGGTTTTGCTGGGAGGATTTCAGCGCGATGGAGCTGAAGCGGGAGGTCCACTGGAGATGCACAAGGTACCTGCTGGGCACCCAAAGCAGTTGCAAAACCGAGCCAGGCCACATCGTATTTGGGGATGGCTTTATCCATCACATAGCCTGGACCACGCCAACCCACCAGAGACAACCCGGCCCCGCTGGGATTTGTCCCTCGCGCTGAGCCCGTGTGCTTCCCAGCAGCGGCTTACCATGGAGAGGATGACCAAGGCGGGGAAGAAGCCCATGATAACGTAGCACACCAGCTCCACCAGCTTGTACCTGCGACCGACAGAGAAGCTGCTTGGAGGCAGGTGCAGACGGAGCGTCGAGTTTTACGCTTGCGATGTCCACTCCCACGCCATCGGAAAAGGGGTGGAAGCGCCACCACAGCAGATCCCATGACCTCAGGTGTGAGCCACACCACCGCGGCGGGGCAGGCACCCTGCTCGGGGGGGTGATGGACCTCCCACCCTGGCTTGGGAGCTGCCAGCTCAGGGCCAGGGGCTTGAGGCTTTGGGGAGACATCTGGGGCTTTTTGCTTTCTGTTTGGTGCCACCATGTGGAAGAAGCCACTCACGGCAGCACATCCCTGCTCCTACATCCCTGCCATGGAAGATCCTAAAACCAGCGCGTGGGTGGGGAAGGACGTGGTCCAAGGAAGCTCTCCAATGCCAGTTGACCAGGAGGCTGCCCCGGGACCCCGTACCTATCTGTCTGTCTGTCTGTCTGTCTATCTCCATCCCTCTTGCTCTTCCCTGCAGCTTGACTACCATCGGGGCATTAAGAGGGGCTGGCAGAGCTGAGCTGGGCTCTGAGATAGCCACCAGCACGGGGCCAGGTGAAGGCACTCACCGCTCATGGAAGAAGAAAACATAGACGGTCCCGATAGACGCCATGATCCAGATGATCCAGCGCATGTGGGAGGCCCAGGGACCCAACTCCCTCAGGTTCAGCCTGCAAGACCCAGGTCTGTGTTGAGACAGGTCTAGGGCAGCACCCTGGTCCAGGCTGCAGGCAGCGAGATGCCAGGGAAATGCTACCCTCCCCCCTGCCATGGCTGTCCCACCAAAGGGTCTTCCCAACTTGTAACTTCAACTTAAAGGGGTTGGAATCTACAGGATAGGAAGGTTTTGTGGAAAGGGGGAGGGTACAGCCTTGAGCAGAGCTAAAGCTGGAGAGGGAAACCCTATTTGTTGGAGCTGGGCTGGTTTTCTGCCCTCCAGTGGGGCCAAGCGATGGCCCACAGCCACTGGCAACTCACCAGGGAGCGTACGACGCCGCGATGAAGAAGTAGATCACCATCCTGTCGAACATGTGCAAGCAGTGCTCCACAGTCCTGCGGGACAGACAGACAGATGGGTCACAGCCTGTGGCACTGGGGGCTTCTGGACCCTCTCCCCATTCCTGAGCCCCAGGCAACCAGGGCTGGTACCTGAGATGCCTCTTCTTCCAGGAGATGGTGTGGAAGATGGTGGAGACAATGAAGAGGCTGGACAAACCAAAGCCATAGATCCAGGCTGAGATAGTTTCCCACTGGTCATCAGAAAGGATGTAGAGGATGGAGCTGCCAAGGATGCTGGGCAGGATCCAGAACTGGGAGGGAGAAGCAAACCCGTGGTTGACTCTCTGTGTTTCCCTTGAGCCGCTACAATACAGTCTCTGCTTTTCCTTTTAGGTATTTCTTTTGTTTCTGGTCAAAGCCACCACCCACAAGGGCCAGGCAGGGTCTCTCCCTGAGTGGTTCAGCTCCAAAATAGCTTCTCCAGGTGGAGGTAGGGAGGAGGAGGAAGGCACGAGGAGGATGGCTACTTCTGAGTCATCTCCCAGAGCTTGGAGTGGGAGCTGCCACCTCCCAAGGGAAACCCTGATGTGGGAAGTGCTCACTCCTACTGCCATGTAGGCAGCCCCATGGGGTGCCTGTCACCTTTCCTACTGAGAAAACCACTCCATTTTCAGGGAGCTTTGCAAAATACTCCTGCTCCACTAAGCCCACAGCCAGCTTCCCCAGGAACATGGGGCCATGGTGGGTGAGAGCAAGAGAGATGCACACCAGCTTCCCTGGGCAGAAGGAGGGAGAGCAGCCCTGCTCCCCAGGAGCACCCGGGGCACATCTGCCTCCAAACAGCCCCGAGACCCTCAGCAGCTGCTCCAGGGCTGAACACAGACATCTTTAGGTGCTCCTTGAGGTTCCTCAGGAGATCCCTGGAGAGCTGAGCACCATCCTCCCTCACCCTGGGACGGGGACAGGGACTCACTGCGTGGGTGGCACAGTTCGCTGCATGCTCGTACTCCGTTGGCTGGTACCTGCGGTTGGACGGGACGCGGTGATTCATGAACCTGCAGGGACAGAAACACGCTCAAGGGATGGGGTTTGGGAGAAAGCCCTTTTGGAGGGGTCTGAGCAGGGACACCCACCAGTCCCCCAACCTGGAGCCCCACCTCAGCTCAGATTTGCTCTAGCTGCCCTGCAGAAGTGACCCCGACACTGGGCACAGCTTGTCCATCTGGCTGGCCCCAAATGCCAGGACCTCAGGTCTTGTCCAGCTACAGCTCAGGCCGAAGCAATTCCCAGTAGCTGCCATGGCTTGGAGAGCAGAAGGCAGGAGCCAGCTCTTCCTGCTGGTGCAGGCAGGAGAGGCCAGACAATGACAGTGGTGGGAAGAGCCCCAGCAGCAAAGAGGGCACACGAGGTAGTGGGGGGACCTGCTGCGGGTCCCTGACCCAGCCGGTGGGGACACCTTCACGTCATGGCAGCGTGCCTGGCTCCGGTGAGGGGATCCCCACGATGCCTTTGGTTTCTGGGTACCACCTGCATCTATCTCCTCCCCGAGGTGGCTGCACGTCCCAACACAGATTGCCACAAGGGGGAAACCCACCACGGTCCCTCAGAAACCTGTATCTCTATTTCTGTTTCTCTTGGTCTGAGGTATCAGCTTGCTCTTGGCGTTCAGAAGAATATATCGATTTCCCCGTTGGATCAACACACAGCGAGAAAAAATAGTGTCGGGCTCGGCTAGTCCATTGCTAGGTACATAACGCTGTATCGAGAGGCAAGATAAACATGCACCCATGATAACAGATCGGAGCAAAGTGCTGCCTTGCTCAGTGTCCTCTGCTGGCAGGGGACAGCAGTGGAAGCTTAGTGAAAGGGAATAAGAAACAGGCCAATAGAGAGTGATCCTGCCCTGGCTGCTCCCAGTAACGAGGGGTTTAAAGACTTTTTCTGCTGGGCTTAGGTCAGGACGGCTGAGCTGAGTGGGCGCTGGTGGGGCTGCCCTGCAGGACCTGGGCTCATTGCTTTCTGACCCGGCTTGCTCTCGGCCCCGGCACCATCTGCGGCGTGTTTCACAGCTGAGCTGTGCCCAGCGAGGGAGCCTGGGGGCTGGCAGGACCTTGCTGCTGGGCGCAGGGTGACCCCTCGGTCTGGGGCACTGCGAAAGACAGTAAAAGTCCCCTCTCTCCGTCCCTGAGCCACCCACACCCGGGCAGACTCCTCTGCCGTCGCCTGCCTGCTCAGCCCCACCGCCTCAGCCTCTCACTGCTGCCCATTAAAAGTGACTCAGGGTGGATTAAATAGCTCAAATGACAAGGGTTTGAATGTAGGGGGGAGTGTGGCCACGGCAGGTCTGGGTGTGCAAAGTGCTCCCCGGCTGGTGGCAGGGACACCCCGTGGGGACCCTGTCCCAAGCGCTTGCCCTGCCTGCTGCCAGACCCCGGCACTGCAGGAAGGTGCGTGGTCATTGTCACCAAAAAATGTCTTGAAGTAAGAGGGGGAAATAGAGAGGCTGAGCTCCCACTGCTCTGCAAATTGAGGACCCACGCTGGGTAAAGCAGGGCTTAGCAAGGCTGCTGTGGCTGGGAAGCAGCCAGGCACCCCTGGGGACACGGTCGTGCCCAGCGTGCTGTCACCTCCGTCCCAGGAGACACCAGGGATGCCCTCCCCATCCCGCCACTCTGGCCACGAGGGCTGGCCAGGCTCCCCACGCTGGAGCCACGTCCCCCTGGCAGCAGAACGTTGCCAAGAGACTGTCCCCAGCTCCCCTTCGGGTTTTGCTGCCTTTTCTTTTCCCTTTTAATAATAAGAAGGCGGGGGCGGGGGAAGGCCAGACATCCCACGTGACGTCGCAGTTGCTGAGGAAACACATTCGAAGCCTTTTCCTTGAATTTATTTGTTTTAACAAAGCTCCACACCATCTCCCCTCCATTCTGGCAGTCGCTGTACCGAGCAGGAACGGGGAGCAGCAGCGGGGCTGGTTCCCACAGCCCCCACCCCCAGGGCCAAGGGGCAGCCAGACCCTTTGGGAAGGGATCCCTGGGGTGCAAATATCCTCCTTAGCTCTGGTACAGGGATGGAGAGGTTGGGGAGAGTCATCCTGGCTGTCCCCATGGGATGAGGTCGAACAGCATGTGTGTCCCTGAAGCCCAAAGCCATGCTGGGGCAGCAAATGCCTGCTTTTCCCGGAGAGAGAAACAGCCTTGAGGAGGAAGTTTGTTTTGACCTGAGGAGAGACTGCTCTTGTTTTCCTGCCCTGCTTTCTAATAAGCATCATTCTGTGAAGGATGGGAAACAGAGCATCACAAATGTGGGACCTGGCTGCAAAGTGCTGGGCCAGCCTGGGTACAGCGAGGCCCTCCTGGAGCAGCCAGCATCGCGTTTTGGGGCTAGTTGGGCACATTTTCATCGCCTTCCGTGCTCAGGAGCAGAGCTGTGCAAACAAGCATGGGAACAGCCGGTGTTTGCACATCTCCTGGCAGGGTAGGATGAGTCCCTGGCTGCCCTGCAGCACCTCGCCCCCCGGGGTGGCAGAGGTCATTTCCTTGCCTTCTCTCCTGGGACTTTATCTACCTCCCAGACCATCCTGGGATGCCAAGTGTCCATACAGCTCGTGTCATCCTTGTGCATGCTGGCATGGATGCGAGGAGCCCCGCGTCACTCCCAGCCTGCAGAAAGTTGCTGTGCTGGTGTGTAAAACCAGCCTCAAACCTGAGCTCCAGCCCAGACAGATGGATGGACACTCTTGGAGAGGGCACCTGTGACTCTCCTTGGAGCTGGCGAAAGCCCAGAGCAGGCGAGAGCCCCAGGGGGAGGCTGTTGTGTGTTTCCCAGCCCCAGCTCTGTGTGACCGTGGCCTTAGGAGAAAGGGAATTGCTGGCAGCCAGGCAGAGCTCCGGGGTTTTTCAATGCAGGAAAATAAGGAGAAGAAGAGAAACACCTCTCCAAAACACAGATCTGATCCCTGCTGCAAGTCTCCTGCCCAGCTGGCTTAATCCACGATCATTGCCAGCTCCGTGTCATTGCGCCCGTACGCTTGAGGACACCCTGGCTGTGTCCCTAGGGTGGGAGGAGACGCAAGCAACTTGTCCCAAACAGCCTCCAGCCTACGCTGCCACCTGCCTGGGGACCCAGCAAAGCCGCAGCAATGTGGCTCGCTTGAGATGGCAGGTCCGGGAAGCCCCGGGCAGGTGATGACACACCAGCTGGGGGCTTCGGTGCATTTTAGCAGGTGCTTTAGGGTTGCAAAGTCCAAAAGCCACAGAGAAGTTTAAAACCTCCTATACAGCAGGAACACGAGCGTGTTCATTTTCAGGGATGGTGCGTGGGAAGCAAAGACCCGAGGGACTCCCGGGCACCTTTTTCTCCCAGCGCTGTTTCTGGCAGATGCTATATGGACTGGCTATATGAAGATGGGGGGCCTGGTGGGAGTCTGAGCAGGGGTTATTCACTGCAGGCCCGGGATTTTTGCCTGCCCTGCTTGTGTCTGCTTCCCTCTGGCCCCTTTCCCAGGAGGGGAGACTGAAAAGGGCCAGTGCAGCAGGCTCCAGCCGGGGAAACAAAGAGCCCCTTGTCCCAGACAGCCGGAGCAAAGTGCAGAGCCGGCTTCCCAGGCTTGTTCCTTTCTCTTTCTCTTTCTTCCACTCCATTTTTTGTGTGGCTTCGGGAGGGGCAGGGTTGAGTTTTGAGTCTTTAAAAAACTTTTATCCAAGAGCAAAGTTCTGACCTCAAAAATGATGCGGACCTGCCTGGCTCTTGTTTTGCCAGGATGGAGGAGAAGAAGGTAAAGAGGGGATTCAATTAAATTATTCCTCGAGGTGGCTCATGTGTGAGCATTTGAGCATCTGAGCTCTCCTGGGGACACCAAGACAACCTGCATCAGCCACTTCATGGGCACCACGCACTCACGTGGGCAGAGCCATGGGACACTTTGCAGGAAAGCTGTCCCCTACATGCACGGCAGAGAATGGCCCTGATGGAGACCCAGGCCAGGCTGCGATTTAGGAGAGACGGGGTTTAGTCCTGCCTTCGACACTGACTCTCTGGATGACTTCTGCCACATCACTTCATTTCCCTCTCACCCCGCTTTCCCCCTCTCCAAGTGAGGATAATCAATTTTGACATCCTTCAGGCGGGCTGGTGGAAGGATACTGTGAGGAGGGTGTAAAATCACCACTAAGATCCAGATGGGGAGGTTTGAGCTGGGGGTTGCCTCTGCTCCCATTGAGCAGCTCATCCCTGCTCTTGCAGGAAGCTGGTCCAACACCCAACAACCCCAACCCTGCTATACGTCAGGCTGTACATGTGACATGCGGCTGTGTATCTACGCACCGAGGAGCTGGGTTCCCCCTGCACATTGCTGAGGCCGTGGCCGTGACACCTGAAGAGCCAACACATCCCCTTCACAACCCGTGAAGCACTAAAATGCCAGAGCTGTGTGTTGCTCTGTGGGCAGGGTGCCACGGGGACAAAGAAGCAGCCAGCACGTCCAAGGTTGCTCCCAGGTGATGTGAATCTCCCCAGACCAGCTAATGTCTACAGGTTTCACCTGCAAACGGCTCATAAAAGGGCTGGGCTTGCTTGGGATCTGGCCTAACGCCTTTAGAGGTGGGATGCTGGTTTGTTGTGCATCTGCCCTCCTGCCCAAGGAGCTGGGGTGTTTCCAGGCTGTGTTCCCTGCTGGGCAGCTCTTGGGGATTTGACTGGAAATCAAGGTGATTTCTCCTTGTGACTGTGTATTGCACCTGCTTTTAGAGTATCAGAGGAGGATTGTATCCTGATGGTGGTATCTTCTTAGAGAGAAAGGATGGAGAAAGCATTTGCTGGATGCCGATGGGCAGTTGTGGTAAGTCCTGCTTGGGCCCTTTGGGTTTTCCCTTGGTAGAGCAAGCCTGAAGTGACGGTGATGGAGCAGATACATCCCTGTAGGGCAGACTGGCCCCAGACCCCTCTTCAGTGCATAGTCTGGGTTTACCCTAATGACCCCAGAGGCTGCGCAACCAGTGCAGATGCTGGGGCTTGATCCTCAGGCTTGTGCTTAGGTGTGAGCTGCTGTGATGGC